GATCATCAATAATCATCAAATTTTTGTAATTCAAGATCAAATCGAAGATATAATCGAAAAAAAATGCACAAAAATAGGGTTTTTTTATTGAATGAGTACTTGTACTCGTAGGTATCGTCGAAGTATGTCTCCGAGTACTGAATCTGTCCCATTTCTTCGCTTGGTTTCTGTTTATGATCAAGATTTCAAGAGATTAAAGATTGATTGAGACCCTAATACTTAGATCATAACCATAGATTTTTTTAATAAAGCGAGAGAGTGTGGGGGAACCTGAACAAAAGGGGAAAAGAGTGGGTGAGAGAGCGATAGAGAGAGAGAGAGAGAGGAACGCTGCTTCGAAAATTACGAATGAGGAATCTAAGGGCTCTGATTTGTTGTGCGTAGCAGTGGGTAATTTTATTTATTTATTTATTATTTTATAAATTAGCGGTATTATTATTATTATTATTATTTAGGGCTTGTAATTTTAGAGTGGCATTTTTGAAATTTGAAATTATATGGAACCGACACAACCAGTGAAATGTTGGTGACGTGTCAGTTGGATAGTGTGAAAAATATCGCGACTATCCGTTGCTCGTCCGTCGTAGTTTTAATGGGCCTGTGGCCCCTATGTAAAGAGGCCGAATGTAATACGCGTGGAAAAGTGAGATACAGATAATTGTACTCCTCAAAGTTAAATGGGAAAAATGTGTCTAGGCCCCTCAAAAATAAAGGGGATGTGGCCTAGCCCCCCATAGTTTTTCCCTTGTGTTTTAGCTCCCTCACACTCTCCCATGAACAACTTTCCAAAATTATCACTTTCCCTTTTCTTCTCCTCCTCCCCCCCTCTTCTCTTCTCCTCTTCTTCTTCTCCATACCCTGGCCCACCACCACCACCCGCCTCCCTCCCCCCCCCGCCCATCCCTGACCTCCTCACCTCAAGCGTCTTCATTGCACTGCCACCATGCTTCTCACCCCCTACCGCCGCATCTGCTCTAGAACTTCTCCCTCTTTCAAATCCGCAAGGGACTTTGAAGGAGGTTCTCTCTCTTCTTCTTTGTCTTCTTCTTCTTGGTTCTTGATTTCGAATTGAAAGGGAAATGACGTTCGATCTGAGGCAAGTGGTTGCTGCTTTTCTCACTCTGTCAATGTTCACGATGCTTGGGAAAATGATTAAGCAGTATCACTTTGATTCGTATGAGGTACAATCTTTATTAATTGAGCTTGAGTTGGAGTTTATGAATTTGATTGAGTTTTTAGGTTCATTGTATTGGATTTTGGGCTTCCATGTTCGTTTTGTGATTAAATTAGGTGTTTTGATTTTGAATTTTGTCAACGTGTTGAGGATTTGATGTGGATCTGTTCTTTGCCTTGATTTCTTGCAAGCATATGCCTGGTGAGATTTTTTGCACACAAGGTGTTTGCTATAATGCCTTGGTGAGAAGAAATGGTTTTATTGGAGAGAATGACTCAATCTCAGCCGTGGGTTATAATTTGATGGAATTAAGAAATATTTGAGACCGATGAAAAAAAATCTATGCATGTTGTCATAATCTTAGGCCTATTGGTGGGTTAGTTAATCAGAAAGTTAAGCATCTCATCATAATCTTCTTTGCAATGGAAATTGATATCCTCAGTGCGTCCTTACGTATTTTGTTCCCCTAAATGCCAGATGCTTGTGGAATTTCTAATTCCAATCTCCTCTTCCTTTTTTCTTGTATGTTGGAGATGTTGTACTAAGAAGGTTACAGCCGGCCGTAAAGAAAAGAGAAATAGAAGAAGGATAATAGGTTGGGGGTTGTTGGAGGAAGAAGAGAGTATGAGATCTTTAATGTGTAGATATTAAGGAGGGGCTCTTGGTAAAGATTTGTCACAGTTATGGAGGTTGCCATTTTTTGCTATAGGTCATCAATGGAGAAGAGGGGAGTGAGAGCCAATGTTCAAATGAATATGGAACACAATATCCCTCGTTCCTTTTCTTGATTGAAAAAAGATGGTGGACCCAAGAAAAGGGTCTACAACTATTTCAAAAAAAAGAGCTTAAGAAAATAAAAGAGGGCCCAAATCTACATTTACAATTGTGTTCATGTAAAAAACATATACAACCAGAGTATTAGTGGATGAGCATAGCGACAAAATACGGTGGGAAAATTCCTTAACAACAATATGTATGCTCTATGTAGAGATGTCAAACAGGCATTTCTATGCCACACCATTTGCCCATTTAGCATTTGCTAAATGCGTCACCCTCGGGGTGGTAGTTTATCATTTGCTAAGTGCTCACTTTATCATTAAGTAAATTTTTAAAAAAAAAATCTACAAATCAGAATAAAGGTAGAAATACAAGTTTACAAAGCAAGCTAGAATTGACACCACAGGCCGCATTCATAAACAATAACCATTAACAAAATGAAGAAATGACACTGGATGTGTATGTTAAGTATTAGAAATTGAAAAAGCTCAATGGCATTCGAAAAAACAAATGTTTTGGTTAAGAATTAGTTTGAGGCAAATGATTTTCATCTGAGAACTGAGAAGTGCTCACACCGGATGTGTATGTTAAGTATCAGAAACTGAAAAAGAAAACTTAGCATGTCATATATTCTAAGTTTAGTTTCATATAAACAGGTTCAGCTCTAATACGTGCAAAAGCTCAATGGCATTCGAAAAAACAAATGTTTTGGTTAAGAATTAGTTTGAGGCAAATGATTTTCATCTGAGAACTGAGAAGTGCTCACTTTATCAATAAGTAAATTTTCAAAAAAATATAGAAATCAGAATACAGCTAGAAATACAAGGTTTACAAAGCAAGCTAGAATTGACACCACAGGCCGCATTCATAAACAACAACCATTAACAATTTACAACGAAATGAAGAAATGACACCGGATGTGTATGTTAAGTATCAGAAACTGAAAAAGAAAACTTAGCATGTCATATATTCTAAGTTCAGTTTCATATAAACAGGTTCAACTCTGATGCGAGCAAAAGCTCAATGGCATTCGAAAAAACAAATGTTTTGGTTAAGAATTAGTTTGAGGCAAATGATTTTCATCAGAGAACTGAGAAGTGCTCACTTTATCAATAAGTAAATTTTCGAAAAAATCTACAAATCAGAATACAGCTAGAAATACAAGGTTTACAAAGCAAGCTCAGTTTCATATAAACAGGTTCACCTATGATGCGTGCAAAAGCTCAATGGCATTCGAAAAGAAAAAACAAATGTTTTGGTTAAGAATTAGTTTGAGGCAAATGATTTTCATCAGAGAACTGAGAAGTGCTCACTTTATCAATAAGTAAATTTTCGAAAAAATCTACAAATCAGAATACAGCTAGAAATACAAGGTTTACAAAGCAAGCTCAGTTTCATATAAACAGGTTCACCTATGATGCGTGCAAAAGCTCAATGGCATTCGAAAAGAAAAAACAAATGTTTTGGTTAAGAATTAGTTTGAGGCAAATGATTTTCATCAGAGAACTGAGAAGTGCTCACTTTATCAATAAGTAAATTTTTGAAAAAATCTACAAATCAGAATACAGCTAGAAATACAAGGTTTACAAAGCAAGCTCAGTTTCATATAAACAGGTTCACCTATGATGCGTGCAAAAGCTCAATGGCATTCGAAAAGAAAAAACAAATGTTTTGGTTAAGAATTAGTTTGAGGCAAATGATTTTCATCAGAGAACTGAGAAGTGCTCACTTTATCAATAAGTAAATTTTCGAAAAAATCTACAAATCAGAATACAGCTAGAAATACAAGGTTTACAAAGCAAGCTAGAATTGACACCACAGGCTGCATTCATAAACAATAACCATTAACAAAATGAAGAAATAACACCGGATGTGTATGTTATGTATCAGAAATTGAAAAAGGAAATTTAGCATGTCATATATTCTAAGTTCAGTTTCATATAAACAGGTTCAGCTCTGATGTATGCAAAAGCTCAATGGCATTCGAAAAAGCAAATGTTTTGGTTAAAAATTAGTTTGAGGCAAATGATTTTCATCAGAGAACTGAGAAGTGCTCACTTTATCAATAAGTAAATTTTCAAAAAAAATCTACAAATCAGAATACAGCTAGAAATACAAGGTTTACAAAACAAGCTAGAATTAACACCACAGGCCGCATTCATAAACAATAACCATTAATAATTTACAACGAAATGAAGAAATGATACCGGATGTGTATGTTAAGTATCAGAAACTAAAAAAGAAAACTTAGCATGTCATATATTCTAAGTTTAGTTTCATATAAATAGGTTCAGCTCTAATGCGTGCAAAAGCTCAATGGCATTCGAAAAAACAAATGTTTTGGTGAAGAATTAGTTTGAGGCAAATGATTTTCATCAGAGAACTGAGAAGTGATCACTTTATCAATAAGTAAATTTTCAAAAAAAATATCTACAAATGAGAATACAACTAAAAATACAAGGTTTACAAAGCAAGCTAGAATTGACACCACGGGCCGCATTCATAAACAATAATCATTATCAATTTACAACGAAATGAAGAAATGACACCGGATGTGTATGTTAATTATCAGAAATTGAAAAAGAAAACTTAGCATGTCATATATTCTAAGTTCAGTTTCATATAAACAGGTTCAGCTCTGATGCGTTCAAAAGCTCAGTGGCATTCGAAAAAACATGAGCAAACCATAATGCATTAGAAGCATATCATCATCTGAAGACTAAACCGAGTGTTCATAGCATCGTTAAAGAACTAAAACATAGTTCGACATTCATCATCACATCAAAGATGATAGCAATATCATTTTAATCCCGAGAAAACAACAAGCGAAGTGAGACTCCCAACACCCCAAATATTTCAATGTATGAGGTTGAAAAGATCATGTGGATTAGGGTTTCACTTCTGAATCATCGCGGCCTGAGCCTCCTGCTACTGCTAGTAGTTGAGAGGCCTACAAAAGAGCATGATGTGAGGCTCCGGGCGGTGGATCGCGTAGTGTACCCACCCTCTGCTCTGCTAAACTCCGATCACCCTTCACTCATTCTAACATATCCAATTCACAACCACACTTGGATAAATTTTTGAATAAGAAGAAAACAGTTAATGAACTTTAACTATAAAAATTAGAGAGAACTGTAGGCGTCATAAAATGCTTATGGACATCCAAATACTGCTGAAGACAAAGAGAAGACGATAAACGCCGTTATCTAAGTCATGGGAGATCATACAAGACCAAAGGAAGCAAAACAACATAGAATAATGTGCATACCGGTGACAAGATACACTGACGTGTGTTAACATGACAATAGATGGCGATGCACATAGGTGCGACAGCTCATGGTGACGCGCATAGGCACGACAGCCTATAATGACGCGGCAATGCACGACAATCGAGTGTGGCGCGCGTAGGCGCGACAGTTGAGGGTGGCGCGCGTATTCATGTGGTATCTTTGTATGATTTGCTGATAGTTTTAACATCCTTCTGAGGGTCCACGTGGCGGCATATCAGAAAGAGAACATGTGCTAACGTTGGGGGTGGTTATAGACAGAGAAAAGTGGTGTTTCATGGGCCTAAAGACATGGGAGAACAGTTAAGAACATGATGGAACGTGGCTGGAACTGCCCCTTTAGCCGCGCCAGACCACACTGACGCGCTAATATCCGTGGTAGCGAATACTGATGAGCCCAAAGAATACACACTTGGTCAATTATTTATCCTCCATTTTCACTGTTGTGCACCCCTATCCCTATAAATACCTTCTTAGACACGAAGCAAAGGACAAAGAGCAGAATATAGCAGAGAAGCCTAAGCCTTTTGGTGAATTAGAGCAAGAGAGAGAGCCTTCAGTCCTCACAACTGTTTCCAAAGCTTTTAATGATTCCTAGAGATCTAAGCTCTGACTTGATCTTTGGAAGAGTGAACATCTTACATCGATAAGATATTCCCTTCAAATTTTTACTTCGATAAATGAAGGAAGAATCCCATAACCCCTTCACAATCTATGAATCGGTGGTCCACGAGCCAAAGCACTCCCGGCACATGCAAAGTCCCACAAAACAGAAATCGATAAACAATTTCTGTGTTATTTTCTAGAGAGTTTTAATTTTTATTTATTGTGTGAAAGAAGTCTTATAAAAAGACTATTTTCTTTTGAATTTGTTGTAATCGATCGAAGATATAATGAATTCCATAATAGTTTTAATTTTCAAAGAAAACAAACTGACGATCATAGTGGGAGCCAACGGCCTCGCTGCCGAGGCCGCAGTGTCGCAACCGATCAAGATTGTGATCAATAAAGAGATCGAATATGAATTCGATCAAGCAAAATTTGAGGAGTATTTGTCATCATCATCCTCAAAATCTTCTTCGCCTCGCAAATGCAGGAAGATTTCATCTTCCAAGAAGGTTTTCTAGTCTTCGACCCCGATGAAGACTACATATGAAAATTCTGCTTGCAATGTTTCTGCTCTTAATGATCCTGCACCACATAAGGAGTCATTGAAACTGACGAAGAGAGCTCGTCAGAGACAACGTCAGCGCCATGCTCATCAATTGGCTAAGGCCCTACAACAAACTGACGGGTCTATTACTACGCGGACCTAGAGTCGAGGAAGCATAAAGTGAACTAATTGCCCCAACGATAGAACACTCATATTTCTGTACAACTTACAACGGAGGAATGGACCCTCGTCAAGAGGACTCGTTCGACCCTCAAAGAACGCATACAAAAGCATCGTGCAAACGTCGCTCGTACTCGTGCTCTCCGTCAACAAACACAGGAAGGGAAGAAAGAAATGGTGCTAAAAAAATCACCAAAGAACCGCAAGGTTTGGATTCCTAAAACCAAACTTGCTTGAGAGTTGAATCAAGGAGATTCCTCGTTCAACCGCGATAGTCCATACTACCGCGGCAAGATCTTTAACCGCGGCAGTCTACCCTACTGCGGTGCGTCGTTCGACCGCGACACTCACCCCTGCCGTGGCCAAGGGGAGGGTCACAAGAGCACTCATTAACCCTCGCCAGCGTCTGCTCCTAGTCCGTCTACTACAACTATGTTTGTAAAGCTGTCTGACAACCGAGGTAAAGCTCCGGTTAGAGAACGCTTGGGTCCGGTAAATGAACCCCAAGTGAATCCTCATACTGGGGGTAGTATGTATCCTTCGGTCAAGACAAAACAAACCCAGAATGAGAAAGTACCAATACACTCTTGTTTAGGGCTTGTAACGACTCCATACCCGCAAGGGGGTGGATGTAAGAATTTAACTTTGGATCGCCCAGAGGCGATGACTAGTCGTTCTATGCATGACAACAAAGTTCAAAAGCAAGAGATAGGTTGCTCGAATCAGAATAATGATGAGTTGTATTATCAGAATAATAAATCACGAAAAAGAATTTCTCGAGAAGTGGAGTCTCACTACGCATGCGAGAGACTTATTAAGGCAGTGTTGTCGGAATGCGGTTGCTCTAAAGCTGAACTGACAAGAGTCTCCGTATTTCAAAGACTTTCTACTGGAACGCCACGACCAAAGGCAAGACGTTTCAATAGGAAGAAATCCGCTGTGCGAGAAGATGAGTTCTCAGAGGTCATTATCAACATGACCAATAGAAGGAAGAAACAGTTAGTCAACCCTGACCCTAATTTCTCTCCGGGAGGGAGAGTTGAGCTGGGTCTCTCTCTCTCTCAAAGGATGTCACGACTACAACGAAGGGCCAACCGACGTCGAGACTAGAAGAAAATGCATGAATGTCTATCTTCAGACGATGAACTTTCAGATACATGTTCTGTAGTCACCTCGGATGATACAATATCCAGTGTTGGACGAGTTAGAGAATCATTTGCGATTACACCTGACCAATTAGCTCAGATATTGTAGGAGGTGTTAGCTAAACAATGCAAAATCAAAACCGAGATGGAGTTGAGATGCAGCAGATGCGAGATTTGCAGGCTTAATAACACCAACCGGAATCGAGCCAAAAGGCTGAATCCATCCAGCATAATGCCATACCTATACGTATAACCGAGGTCGATAATGACCATAAGGAAGATGAAACTATCTTTACTGATCCTCCTTCTGATAAAGATAATTCTTGAAGTAGTCCGGCTAAGTCATCTACTCAACCTTCTCAAATCTATTTGAAGAAGAGTGAGGAAGAGGAAAAGAAGATACAAGATCTTGAGAGCAAAGTCAATGCTCTAATGACAGCCTAGAAAGTGAAGAAAATGGGCATCCCATATCCGTACTCAAGGGAATGGGACTTGATTCCTTATCCCCTGAAATTTAATCTAATTAACTTTACTCCTTTTGATGGTAGGGGTTCACTCACTCAACACTTGATTTACTTCAAGTCTCATCTCGACGCAATCTCTAAAAATGAAGCTTTGATGGTTCGGTCATTCGTAGGAACCCTTCGTGGGCCTGCCTTCGATGGTACTGACGTCTTAAGCCCGGGAGTATCACTAGCTAGAAAGATATGGAAGGATTATTTCTTACTTATTTCTTCGATGATGATACTGAGGTATCTATTGGCACTTTGCTGGATGAGAAACATAAAGATGAGGAGTCGGTTGATGTCTTCGTTAAACGATTCCAGAACAAGACGGTGAATTGTCGAGATCCACTCACGGAAGAATTCATCCTTCAGACATGTCATAATAACTTGTCCTTGGATGTACTAGAAGTCATGTGGGTTGTACCCTCTAAAACATGGAAAGAGTTAAAGGTGAGAGGCGAGCAAGCCGAGCGCTTTCTCAAGTGAAAGAAGTTGGAGAGGGGTCAGCCACCAGCCAATCCTCAAAAACAAAATTTTAACCCTCGAGGCAGAGGAAGAGGATCCATAGCTGCTGTCGATGCTCATCAAACATCACAACAGCCATAATAATAACAACCGCAGCAGTCATCTTTCCAGTTGGCACCGCATCAGAATCAACAGCTCCTGAGGCAGCCTAATACCTCGGAACCCAGGTTCCCGAAAGAGTATTCTTTCAAAGATAACAAGGTTCCAGTCATCTTTAAGTATCTATTGGATAACAATAAGATCAAACTTCCACCAGTCACGAACCAAGAAGAAGCAAAGAAGACTAACGATCCAAAATATTATACATACCACAGAAGGGTCCACCACCCCACCAAGGCATGTTGTGTTTTAAAAGACAAAATACAAACCTTGATCGATGTGATCGATGTTGGTATCGTGACACCGAAACCAAAAGAGAAGAAAGTAGGTGCAAATACGGTGTCTATTAGTTTTGGCTCAGTACCTTTATCCTGGTTCTAACCCGAACCAGTTTCAAAGGTTAAAATGCAAACCATCAACGATGACCCTCATGGACAGCGCCAAAAAGGACTTGTGTCACATACAACTCCAAATGGTGAAATCCTCTGGGTTCATCCTGATCTGCTTGAAGATGAACAATGGACACATCCGTGTCCAAGAAGAAACTGAAAGGCAAGGGAAAAGAGAACTCTTGTTACGGAGCCTCGGCAATTCCCGAAGATAATGATGAAGAGATCCCAGCTACTAGAAGGAGAACATGAAGTTTTCGCTACTAGAAGTGGAAATGAATACCATTTTAATTACCCGAGCGCATCTGAGCAATTAGCCGAGCAGGGGGTAGTGAAAGCTGTACCTAATAAGACTTTAGCAGAGCTGGGGTGGTTACAACTCCACCCGTAGCAACCGAGAAACCTCAAAAAGCTGCCAAGCAAAAGGAGAAAGAGCCTCAACACAAAGAGGTTCAAATTCCGAAGCAGTCTCGTTTCAATTGACCGATTGGAAAGGATAAACCGGAAAGTTCGAATTCTTAATACCGCTTCGACGTTATGACTCAGTTAGCCAATATCCCAGTAAGGATCACGCTATACGAGTTATTGCGCCTTTCAAAGGATACTAGGGAAGCGTTACAAGAAGCCTTAGCTGATTCGGATGTATTCCTTACTCAAATCAAGCCAGCCCCTGAAGAGCCAGAATCTTCACTTCAGCATTGCAACCTAACAGCCACAAAGTTCCCTTGCATTATTTTTACCAAAGAAGACATGCAAGTGAAGAATTCAAAGCATGATAGGCCT